TTACAAGGAAAATGTTATTTCTTTCCAACAGAGAAATCAGATTAAGCAATATGAATTTTCTTGCATTCTTTGACTCAGCAGAGGAAAGAAGGTGGGAAGAGATTTGGGACGTGGGATTCTATTGTAGCTTAGTGAGCCAAGCACCTGTGTGCAAATATTCAGGCATGTAGGAAGGAAAAACCAGAGGGCTTTGTTGCACCTCTGAGATTAGGGTGAGCCAAGGACATTTTGTGCTTGAGGGCAAGAAGGAAGGAAGGAAGGAAGGAAGGGATGGATGGATGGATGGATGGATGGATGGATGGATGGATGGAAGGAAGGAAGGAAGGAAGGAAGGAAGGAAGGAGATGGAACTATTTGCAAATCTTAGCTGAACTAGGAAGTGAAACGCACTAGGGAAAAATGTTTTTAGTGATTTTCTGGGTCTCATCATGCCATGACTGCCCAAATAGACCTCTCCCTGCACCAGCTAGATTTCCCAGTTTGTCTCAAAAATGAGGCTATGGTATTGCCCTTCCTTTTATATAATTATTTTCATTTTTCATCTTTTGAACTGCCCAGGAAGCTATTGTATTCTCCAGACATTGACCCCCTTTCTGGTGAATCCTGCACAGGACTTACCTTTTTCATTACCTACTTCATTTCCATATTTTTATTAGGACTGAACATATAAACCAAAAAAAGGCTGCTAGAGAATATGACAAGGTTTTTCAGTAAAGCTTGACTGTATTAATTATGTTTAAGAAGCAGTGAGAGCTTGTGACAGGAGCAAGAAGGTCTCCCAAAAATGTTGAGATGAGGCACCCTTGTCACAGCCCAGGAGCAGTCAATATTCAGAAGTCTTTACTCTGATGAACTGTCCTTCTGGAATCTGACTTTCCTCCTCATTTCAGATAATGAATAATATTTTAGGAATTGAAAATAGTGTTTTTTTAAAAATTAAAATCTTGTATTTAGCATGCATTAATTAATTATGTGTGCCTATGTTTGCGGTGGAAAATGTCTGATTTTAATTTTATTTAGAGAAAGAAATCATTTCATTATTTAATAACCAGGCTTTATTAAACAATTTTAATTATATAAATTAATTGTTATAATCTTCCCTTAAATTATTTTCTGTGGACTAGAACTTTGGCTTCCAACTCTGATGCCTTTTCTGATTTGCAGTTTGCTACTGAACTTGACAGAAATTAAATGGAATCAATAACAAGCACATTGTGCTGAAATTAAACTGATATCTAACAAAGCTGTTTTTGTAACCTTGCATTGTGTTTTCTAATGGTTCGTATAATTCTTCTTGATTCAGAACTACCACTGCTTATATGCCATTTTAGTGGTCTTAAGGAAAGTGGATGTAAGTACAAGACCTGTAAGAGTATATACAAATATCATAGAGCTGAAACTGAAAATTCATCATGAGATGCATGCAAGAACATGCTGTTAAAGCATCTTCATTAGACAGAAGTTCCATTCTGGGTAACTCATATTAAGACATAACATTTTGCATCTTTGAAAAAGATTTCCCTATCTACAGAACTCTATTGCTCGTCCAATTTCTAAGCATACCATGGCTGCCCCAATGACACAGGCATTTGTTAGTTAGCGACCATGATATCATTGGTAACAAGGAAGACTTTTTTCTCCATTTTGATCCAAATAGAAGTATGTTGAGAAGATGACTGATTGTTTTTGTCCCCTTCATAATTGTTTATTCATGTGTTAGTCTCTAACTGTGAAAGTCAATTTAGTCCCCACTATACCCTTTGACCAAAAATGCTCTTGTACTGTTTAGAAGTATGAGACCACATTATCCTTAGGAAGACCAGCACTGTTGTGATGCCATATCTTGACCTTGTCTCCTTGTTCCATTGTTTTTAAGGGGTTCGTTTTTGTTTTGTCATGGACCATGAGAAACATTTTAGCAAAGGACATCACATTAAGTTCAGATGGACATTTCCCCAAGGAAGCATGTTTAAATCTGCATACTTAAACATGCCCTTGTTTACCTCTCACGTCACGCTAACCTTTGCCTTCTGTAAATATAATTCCTCAGCTCTAGGTGGGTTGAATGCATCAGTTGTAGTCTGTATGACAGACCAGTTCATTGCTGACAGGACTGGGCTGTTTGCCTCATGCTTTCTTTTTAATACCAAACAAGGAGAAACTAAAAGGACTTCCACTAGACAATTGCAGCTCAGTGTTCTGAGGTTTTGGTTGTTTTATTAGCTTTCCAGATACTAAAATGTTCAGGCACATTTCTAAGGTACAATTTTGGCTTACTTAGAAGCTGAAAAAGTTATTTCTCGCAGAAGTACTGCTGTTTGCTTCACCATGTGTGCACTGTCCCTATACTGTTCAGAAAATTATTGCTAGCTGTCCTTCTGACATTTTCCACTGTTGCTGTTTCCATTTTCTACAATAGTCCAACTTCAATCAAAGAAAGATTTATAGAATCTTGTCAAAGGTACACACTTTACTATAACCCCTTAAAAATGCTACTTTTAAGATGGGGAGGGAGAATGTTTTCTCTCATTATAAATGCTTTTTCACAGTTTCTGCCATAAGTCCAAGTAACGTTGGTGATAAAGAAAGATGTGAGTCAGCTATGTTATTTACCACAAAAGAAATGACTAGCAAGTTATTGTTTAGAAGAAGAATGCACTGGAAAATTCTGTAGTTCTTGCCATCCTGTCATTATGGTCTCCTTTTGTCACATTGAATGTTGAAGAGAAAACAGAAACAATGTTTTTTTCAGTATAATCCCACTTAAAATATTGCTTGAAGTTATTACTACGAACAGAATATTCCCTTTGTGGCTGTTCCATAAACACAATGATAAAGGCACTTTGTCATAATTCTACACAGCCAGTGAAACCCCTTTGGTTTTTCTAAGGAAACTGTGCTGAGTAAAATAATGGGATTAATGATGCAGGATTATAAAGCTATTTCTGGAGGTTTGGTTATAAATTCTGTTCTGGAATTATTTAAGAGTATGGTGAATGATTTGAATATTCTATCTATGTGCCATGATAGCAAATATATACATGTATGTTTTTGATTGTTTGTTTATTGCCTTATTGAATAATAATTGCTTACTGTTTTTTATCTTTGTAATTATGTTATGGTTGTATTTTAACTGTTTTTGACTATTATTATTATTATTATTATTATTATTATTGGTTTCTCCCAGCCGCCTTATCATGCACGTGTATCATGCACGTGGTCATGCATTTGGTTGCATGATCTATTCCACAACCAGATCATGCCTGCATGCATGACAGACAGCTGGAAAAACAGCTAACACTTGTGCAATTAACCTTCCACAATTATGTAACCCAGCAGGATTCTGGTCCTGACTTAAATTAGATATAGCGTATTTAAGAAACATTTCCTGAATTCTGTCTCTGTATAACTCCATAGTATTGACTATTGCAGTGCTCTCTCTGTGGGCTTTCCCTTGAAGCTGATCTGGAGATTACAGAAGGTTCAGAATGTGGCGAACTGGTGTGAGGAAATTTTAGCACATCACTCCAGTTCTGGCTTGCCTGCACTGATTACTCCTTGTCTCCCAGATTAGGTTTAAGATTTTAACTCTGACATATAAAGTGCTCCATGGTTTGGGGCCATGCTACTTTTTGTAGCGTCTGTGCCCAATATCATCTGCCTGACCCACCAGATCCTCCCAGACCAGGCTCCTCTGGGAGGTTAACCTGAGGGAGGCCCGAAAGTCTTCCAGTTAGAGGTAGGGCATTCTCTGCTGTGGCTCCAACTTAGGGAATCAGCATCTGGAGGAGCTACACCTGGCTCCCTCTCTTTTGTCATTCATATGAAAACGTAAGATGTTTCTTTTTAGGGAGGCTTTTCATACTGACCCAGGTTGATGTTTTGCTCATTTCTGGACCTACTTCTTTTGTAAATTGTTCTGATACCATTGGTTTTTTTTTATACTGTTAATGTGTTTAATTGTTTGTTTAGTTTTCTGTATTTTGTTTTAGTCCATTGTTAAACCACCCAGAATAGTGCTTTTGCAATATTATAAATAAAATAAAATAACTAGTAGATTACTGCTAAAACTATACCAGTGGTTCTGTTGCTGCCATAGCACTGTATTTCTTTTTTGAAGAATCTCATTGCTTTGTTGCATGCTCCCACTCCCACTGCATAACTTATCCTGGGCTTTAGAGTTTTTGTAGGATCCTATTGCCGTAGGCAGTCACACAAGGGCAATGACATTAAATGATGTTGCCTGTTTCCTGGGGTGTCCATGATGTGCCTAGTCTTCTTCTAGTTGCATAAAAGATGGCAAAACCAGTCACATGCATGGATGTGCACCTGCCATGTGACCGGTTATGGCAGCCTATTGGGGAATAGAAAGCCACTTGCAATACATAATTGTATTGTGGATCATGGCCTAATAAGAAAAGCCACTTGCATGATTGCCCTTACACTTGTGGCTTTTCTTATTAAGCCATGATCCACAATACAATTATGTGTACCTTTAACAATTCTACAGGGATCCATGGACCATACTTCCCAGTATTTAGGTCTGCAGCCTCAAAATTGCATACACATACTACAGATTAGTGATGATACCATGTGGCTGAATGATAGACACTTGAAGCTCAGCAAGTTGAAAATGGTAAAGCAACAGAGTTGGGCCCGCTTCTTGTGTAAAAAACAGCAAATAAATGCTAGTTATTATGAATGTCTCTTCTGTCCCTATATACTGAAACTATTAACTATGTGAAGTGAGACAAGCTTGTCTCTCTCCTTATGTCTCTATTAGTATCAAGAATGTTCATGATTCTGAAATAGGTATTTGAATGTCACAAATCCAGTCAGATTCAACTCCTTGAAATAGAGTCCACCAATTTGTGGCACATTTGCCCAGCAAGCCTTCCTGTTCCAACATAATGTATAATTGTTCCCCTCTCTACAAGGTTTGATATGTTCATTGGAATACAAAGCAAGAGTAAGCGAGCATATTCTGTTCTTTTATTCTAACTCAGAACAAAACTGCTCCGGTCTGTTTATGTTACTGCTGTTTGATATAGCCTTACTAATTGGAAGTGGGGGTGAGCGTCAACATGAGTTCCCTCCTTGTTTCCTATATCAATACACCTCTAAGGCAGCGGGTGGAATTTAAGATCTTACCCACCGTCCCTGTGAGGTATTGTAATGGTTTTAATTTGGTCTCTTGGCAATGATTCCATGTAGACTCACAGATATACCTCCCACTGTGGAATTATCAAAGCATTTCAGTTCAGCGTGTTCATCTATGGATTAATCTCCCATGGTTTTCTTCTGTATGAATCAACTCTGGAGGAGCAAGTGCAGCCTTCTGTAGCGAGCTGACATTTTGTCTGGATGTTCAGCTGGAAAGAGAACATGGACAGTGTCAGAATGCAATAGGAACTCACACTGGTGTACTGATGAAACAATTATGGAGCATAGAAAGGGAGAAATTCTGACCTTCTTCTTGTTGCTTAGGGTGTGTGTTAACATGATGATCCTTCAAGTATTATATAGGAGTCCTAGCCCAAATAGAAATAAATACAAGTCCACAATCAAAACAAGAGCATATGAGAACATAAACAAAATATGTTGTCTTCTCCCTCACTTCATAGTTCTAAGACTATACTTGATCCCCAGCACTGCTATGACATACTTCATCTCATTGTGATGGGATAAAATAAATTAATTAAAGGAATAACTGACTATCATCAACATATATAATAGATTAGCAATTGCCATAGATGCTTCCAGATAGCAACCAGAATTGTCCTCATAATTTACACCGATGAATGTAAGGAGCAGCTTGCTAATTAGTGGTAATTCGCTGGCATGATTTATGCAAGTACACTTACATCAGCATCAGTCCCCAATAGGATTCTGGTAAGACGCAAGTATCTCCAGAGGTCATCAACAATCATTTGGAAGTCCTTTGTGTTTTCCCATCTGCCTTATTAACCACAAACAATCTTTTATGGAGAAAAACATGAAATAGCTTTTCAACACCTTTTGATTGCTAGCATCCAAAGTTAAAAATTGAATCTCCCAATGTTTCTGGTCTTCTGGAAAGAGAATGTGAAATCTTTCACCAGTAATGGATTCAGTGTTTCCAGTTTCTCCCTTCTTTTAATTATGGAAATATATAGCAACAATTTACAGTTAGCTCTGAATATCACTCTTTTTTTTAAAATGATGGGCATTTCCTTTCTCTCAATTTTTTTCTTTTAAATATTATCAGAAGTTGAATGTATAAACAAAAATATGCAAAAACTCAACTGAATGAAAAAAAGATATAAACCATAATCAAGGAAAAATCAAAATCAAAATGTACAGTAGTTGATTAAGAGTAAAAAGGGTATAATAACATTTGCTAATAAAAATGCTATTATAAGTAGTAAATGATCACAATAGGGAATAACAAAAATTCTCTAATAGTGTTGGAAACAAGCAGATACACAGGGCTATGCCATTCAAAATGACCATGCAGAACAATTATACACTTTCATGTATAAGACAGCTCATGTCCCAATATTTTATCTCCCAAATATGACAGAAGTGATGTGAATGGAACAGGTATGAATAGAGGTATATCCAGCCCTTTCAACTCATACCTCTTCATTGTAGGCTATTCTAGCTAGGATTAACAATAGAACTGATCTCCAACATCTTCTCTGTTAATTCTTCTTATAGACTTACAAACTGGGCTGTTGTTCTATTAATCTTAAGGATGCTGTGTAGGTGTTTGTTTTTTTAAATATATAAAATCTGGTAATTAAAAGTATTGGGTGTTACTGTTTATTTTATTTTATTTATTTTCTTGAATTTTGACCCTGCCCATCTCGACCAAAGGTCTACTCTGTTACCATTTACATTTTTTGATTTATATATATACACAAACAATTTCTTTAAAATATTTCTTTGGCACTGGTCACTATTCAGAATATCTGCTGACACTATTCCTTTGTGAATATTTGTTTGACATTTAATTTTCTTCCTTTGTAGATCAAACTGCTGCAACTGTGTAGGGTCCGTATAGTCAACATAAGCAATCCTAAGCACTTTTACTAAGTAGTAGTTCCCACCAACTTGATACTTGGTGTGGAACAACAAGAACACAATTCCACCAAGTCAGTTCTGACATATGACAATACTTTCCAGGATTTTCCAGGTACGTAATATCAGAAGTAGCATACCATTCCCTTCATTCTTTCTGAAGGCTACACATGATGGCTGTCCTCCTGGGATGTACAACAGGGAACTCAACTCTCAAACTCTGGCTCTGCAGATATCTAACTACAAACTCCTTAAAACATCTCACTTATGTTGAACACCCTATTAGGGTCAATATAAGTTGATTCAGCTTATAGTGACCACCTATCTACCTCCTGAGCAATCTGTATGTGGGACAGGAAGCAACAGTTAGAATTGGATATGGAACAACTGATTGGTTCAAAACTGGGAAAGCAGTACGACAAGGCTGTATATTGTCTCCCTGCTTATTTAACATATATGTAGAATATATCATGCGAAAGGCTGGACTGGATGAATCCCAAAATGGACTTAAGATTGCCGGAAGAAATATCACCAACCTCAGATACGAAGATGATACCACTCTGATGGCAGAAAGTGAGGAGTAATTAAATAACCTCTTAATGAGGGTGAAAGAGGAAAGCACAAAAAATGGTCTGAAGCTCAACATCAAAAAAACTAAGATCATGACCACTGGTCCCATCACCTCCTGGCAAATTGAAGGGGAAGATATGGAGGCAGTGACAGATTTTACTTTCTTGGGCTCCCTGATCACTGCAGATGGTGACAGCAGCTACAAAATTAAAAGACACCTGCTTCTTGGGAGGAAAGTTATGAGAAACCTAGACAGCATCTGAAAAAGTGGAGGCATCACCTTGCCAACAAAGGTCCGCATAGTCAAAGCTATGGTTTTTCTAGTAGCGATGTATGAAAGTGAGAGCTGGACCATAAAGAAGGCTAACCGCCAAAGAATTGATGCTTTTTGAATTGTGGTGCTGGAGGAGACTCTTGAGAGTCCCCTGGACTGCAAGGAGAACAAACCTATGCATTTTGAAGGAAATCAACCCTGAGTTGATTCACTAGAAGGACAGATCCTGAAGTTGAGGCTCCAATACTTTGGCCATCTCATGAGAAGAGAAGACTCCCTGAAAAAGATCCTGATATTGAGAAAGTGTGAAGGAAAGAGGAGAAGGGGACAATAGAGGGCGAAATGACTGAACAGTGTCATGAAAGCTACCAACATGAATTTGACCAAACTTCGGAAGTCAGTGGAAGACAGGAGGGCCTGGCGTGCTCTGGTCCATGGGGTCAGAAAGAGTCGGACACGACTTAACAACTAAGCAACAAGTTGATTCTGACTTGGCAGCACATAACACATGCACACAGTTCCAACTGAACAGTGGGATTTAATTCTAGGTAAACATATATGAGATTGTGCTGGTAAACATGCAACTGGATGTAATATTGAATAAAATATTAGGCAACTGAGGCTAAAGTGTCCATTAGGTCTGATTTTAATGCTGACAATTTTATGCATGCCAGAACTTCATCTTCTTCCCATAACAACGAAAAGAATGCCTATCTGAGTTAGCAATCCTAAAAAATTAAGATTCTTTTATCTACATTTAGTTTTGAAATTGGATTATTAATTCAAGATGTACAAAAAGCAGCATTATATAATATGTGTGTGCAATTTTACTGTCATTGCAATGGACTCAAATGAAAGTAATTAATTAGCTTCAAAAGCTCATTTGCCTTGCTGTGGAAACAAGATCGCATCATGCTTAACTTGGAATTATCATTGCTTAACAGAGGATCTGTAAATCCCTTCAAGCTGTGCCTTCTGCTTGAAATGTATTAATAATACACTGCATTTTTCTTTTGCTTTGTATTTTTCTGTATTTGTAGGGTGACTTTTTATAATATCTGGAGGTGAAAGATTTTTAATACTGGAAACAGTGAATGCGACAAATTGTCAAGTGAACACAGCAGTGGGGGTTATTTGGTTCAGCTCCCAATAATTTTTTGTAAATATTTACTTTTTAGAAGTAAATATCCTTAAGAACAATCTGCTTGGGACAAATACAGTGTTCTGTTCCTTGCTGTTCTCTGTTTAGGTGCACCACATCAGCTGTAGTAGAACAGACAAAAGATTAAGATAGGGCATCAGGATCCTTTTTCAGAGAACTACTACTTCTAAGAATTTGGTTCAACTCTACTGAATGGTGGAACTCATGTCTTACCTATTATTTCCTTTTCTATGCTGTTGGATAAAAGTACTTCAGAGTCCATGGTAATCTGACAATATTCTATATACCTCATAAATGGTACCTTCAGTCTCAAATCTTTCTCCACCCTCTATTTTCTTCCTTGGTGGTCCTTCATCACCCTAAAAAGTTCCTCATGAAGGACAGTAAACGTAGATGAAGGCCTTGACAGAATACTTCATCTTAGCAGCCCAGAGGAAGGGTTGAGTTCCAGTACCACTATGAGAACATGTTGGATAAAGTTGCCCTCAGATGTAGGGAAGAGGGGTCATTTTCCTCACTACTCTGCCTGGGCTCTCCCTAATGAAGTGATGGACTAGAGTGTTGCTGTTGTTTTTAACATGGTGGTCTCTCTCATACTACAAAAGTACTGAAAGCACACCTTGCAAGACAAATGGGTTAAGATGAAGCAGCAACCATATATTTGTTGCCTTGGCAACAGAGTTAGAACCAATGGCTGAAACACAGAGTGACTCATGTGTGCTGATTCTTCATTAACCACACTCATTACCTTTGTCCTGTCAGAGACCTAGCTGAGTGACAAGCAAGTGATATTGGTTGCAAGGGGGGATCCAGAAGCCTAAATGAAGGGAGAAAAGAGATTATTATATGAAAGAAAGCTCTGAGTGTCACAGAATGAGGTTCTCTCATGTCTGGGATTATGCAAATTAGCTGACATTATTTAGTCATGGGTCATCAGGCTTTACATATAGGATTCTTTTGTAGTCTGATTCAACACACCTAAGAAATTGTAATATTAATGAATTTTAGCTCTAATTATAGTTTATCTTAACATCTGTTTCTGGCCTTATAAATTGTGTTTGTACTCATATGTATCAGTATTTATTTATTTGATTAGTCATTTCAACCATATCAAAAAACCTTACTCATATGAGTGCAATAGGTATAGACTAAAAGTGTAATACAGGGGTGGACAATTAATTTCTATAGGGGGGCACATGAAAAATCTGAACTGTGTTCAGGGGCTGAACCAAATTTACTTAAAAATAAAATGAAACAGTGATGTTAAGATTGTTTTTATTTTAAACTTGTTAATCTTCACAAATACTAAAGAGGTTTTTTGCGGTATGTTAAAGATAAGCAACTGATCAACTTTAGAAAAAAGCTATAAACGGTTTTGATGTCCGGCGGGCCAGACAGGAGCGGTTCGCGGGCCCAGGTCTGCTGTTATAACTAATAGGACCATGTAGGCAGGCCAGACAGGA